GCATGCCTCAGAAGGCCAAAGCAGTGTGGTCAGAAAACATTTATGGGAGTCTATAGCATGACTGAACATCAAGCGTAGGAATTTTTTCTTTAAGTTTGCTATCTTTTAAAAGCATTCCACGTGTATTCCCTTTCACCTCTTTTCTAGGCTATGCCAACACTGTGAAGATGAAGACTTGTGCAGAGCTGCTGTGAAACCATCTCGAAGCAATGGCAATGTCATGGGTATTCGACTGTCACATGCCATCCTCTCATAAAAGGAAGAATCCCATCATTTACTAAAGCTGAAGTGATACCACCTATCTCTGCATTACTCAAAAAAATTACAACATTCAACATTTTACCAAAAGAAAATACCTTGGACTTAAGCGACTCCTGGACAGAGAAAGCTATACTTCATAAGAAAAGAACTCGTTAACACAGCAATACACGACATCATGAAGTCCTCGTGCAAAAAAGATGAAGGAAGAATAACCACCTATGCCTGGAGAAAAATCATCAATTTTGATATTTTTATCAAAAGGATAGATCAAGAATTTAAGGCACTCCTGGAGAATGAAAGCTGTACCTCATGAAAGGAAACATCTTAAAGCAGGAACACATAACCTTTCTTGATTGTTATGAGCAGCACTACAAACACTGAAAAGCAGGAGCACCTCACTCACATAGACATTTGCTTACTTCACAAAACAAATTATGTTAGTTTCATCAGCTTCTGGAAATAAGACTTCAAATTTAAACTCATTTAAAATTTTAATTTAAAAATTTAGATGATAAAAAGATCAAACATCTAATTTTTTAAAAAAAATAAAATTTCTAAATGAGTTTAGATTTAAACTCTTACTCAGAAAACCTCATGGAGCTCAGAGTCATTGGCCTGTGATGTAAGTGAATGTCTGTTTAGCTGGGTAGTCCTGCTTTGCAAGGTTTGTAACTCTGCTCACATCAAGGAAAAAGGAGGTGGGTGGCTACTTTAAAAATTAGTACTCATACAACTGTTATCCCTCTGTGCATACTGCTCTGCACCCCCTTAGAATTTTGTCACACCACCTTTAAATTACCAAGGAAATAGTTTCTTGCAGGGTACAGATGGTAAAATCCAGGATCTTAGCCATGTCCTAGGCAGTCTCCTTCACAGAGCTACCCAGCAGGCACATACATGGGAGTGTTCTCTCATGAGACTAATGTGAAGTACGCTGCAGCACTGTCATGTATTGAAGGTTTTTCCTTCATGTGCTATCACTGAGTTGCTAGTCACTAGTCTTAATCAGTTTATACCTAAAAGGTGCTGAAAAACAATACAAGCCATTTGTGTTCTTGGAAAATGCTAGGTACTAGGTCGATGGCATGTTTGTGATCCAAACTAAAAAGCATCAGTTATTGTCTGTCACCTTATGTTTAGCTTATTGATGCACCTTGCCAATTATTAATTGTACTTCTCAAATACTGATGATTTTCTTCTTGGTAAACATGTTCATATTTCCATAGTGAGAACCAACATGGTGGTTCAATGATGATAAAAGACAGCGGAGTACAAGATGTTGCAACAGTTCTAAGCCATTTTAAGATGTAGACTTCTGTGCATGTGTCTTCCGGTGTAGTGCAGCAAGTATAAAAGCTTCCTATTTAACATCTTTGGAATGTCACGTGTGGCAAAGCATCTTTCTCCTCATATAAAAATAGTACTTTAAAGACACTGAAATATAATTTTGATTACTTAAAGTTATTATCTCTACATGTTGTAAAGGAAAATTACTAAGAATTGTGTTGAGTAACGTGCAATGAAAAGGAATTAGACTCCATTGGAATATTTCTGTTTTGCAAATTTCTATTATTAACCATCTATTTATAATATTTTTTCTCCTATCCACTGAAGGGAATAGAAAGGACAAGAAAATCAAAATATAAAATTATAAAGTTGATATTTGACATTCCCAAAGTTAAAATTACCAGATAATACATGAAGCACTTTTAAGTTCTAAATTTAAACCACTTTTCAAGCTTCAAGGAACACTGTGATTTTTGGAATGCTATGTATTTCAAAGAATTTTTCTCCTCATATTGAATAGTATTTTTATAGCGCTGAATTATAATTTTGATCAGTAAAATTTATTTTCTCTACCTGTTGTAAAGGAAAATTACTAAGACTAATGTTCATTCACATAAATGAAAAGCAATTAGACTCCATTAGTAGCAAGAGATATGAAAGCTCATTTTAAAATCTATGCCACATGTCACCAGGCCTATAGGACTCTATTGCAAGGGTTTCTGCTGCAGCAACAACTTAGAGCTACCTTAGGAATGTTACTATATGCGACAAAGTATAAAATTTATGCTATCTTGGAAGTTTTGGAACAACAACTCATAAATTTGAAAAATTAAACAGCATGAATATTCTTGCCACAATGAAAGGTATACCACTTACCTCTCAAATGGAATGCTAGGAAGCTTGCCTCTAACAACTGATACAACTGCTTCTCATGGTGCAATTCTACCCAGACAGTTGAGTGCTGCTGGCTACAACACTCTTCAAAGAGACTTGAATGAAGAGCAATCGCAATATTGCCATCTCTCCCCTAAAAGGACAACTGGGAATGAAGATCCAATTTGAACATACGCATATCAATAGCAGCCTTCCTTTGAAAACATGTACATCTCTAAGTGGTTTTTCATGCTATTGTTAATATTTTGTAAGCTAATAAAATTTTGATTAAAGGAAAGCTAGTATTTTTGTTACTATTTTGTGATTATTAATTTCTCCATAATCACATCTCTTTAGAATTAAAATATTTTACTTGATTCTAGATGTGTTTAAAGTGTTCTCAAAATGATTCTACAAAGCTGCGCAAAATAAACACCTTCTCTGAAGCTTTCATTTACAATGCAAACATAATGTACACTGACAGTGTGTTTAGGGAGGAACCCGTGTGACAAGATAAGCTTTCTTAACACATGCCAAAGAGAAATGAACAACAGAAATATAAATTCAGGTCAGGGTTTTGAATTTTGCAGAGAGTAACTGCATATAAATGAATTGCAGAAAATAAAGATGGAGGTGCAATTCAGAGGGTCACCAAAAC